GCCAGTAACCCATTATGCCCCCCCAAATTGACGAGCTCCTGATTCCGATGTGAATGTTGTGAAACAAATAGACACACTTTGATATAAAGAACGCCCAGAACGTACGATGTGATTCCCAATAACCCATTTGGGCACGCACAGAGTTACACCACTTACTTTGGCTAACTTAAATTCAAGTATCCATTACCGATAAGTACTCTCTCGTGATGGTAAAGAGGAGAATAATTGGATGGCCTCAAGCCAAAGGTTAGGGGATAATACAATTGCCATGCCTATAAGATTCTTTATCTGTTTTTAGTTTTAGTTAGAGTTTTACGGCACTTGCAACACAATAAGGTCATATAAGTGCGGAAGATAAGAGGTGTTACAAGAGAGTTACAAACATAAAAAAGAAGGAGAGATAAAGACGATAGTTGTTTGATGGGAAAGAAGGACGAAACCACATCAGAGCATCCGCCAACCACCCACTCTTAATGAGTGAGAATAAGACGTCAAACGCCTCCTTCAACAACAAAGAGAAAGAATTGAGTTGAAGAAAAACACAGTTCAGCTAGATTCACGAATACAGCATAAAAGTCACCAGGCCATGTTTAGGAAAAAGTTGGTATTGTTTTAAGAGAGTTGTGATGAAATTATGGATGTTTTGTTGTTCCATTATATACATTCTTTCAACAATATATCATTTGTTACTTTTGTCTGTCCCCATTTACTAATGTGGGTCAGATTAACTGCTACACTGTTATTATTATTCCTCCGGTCAACAGTATTGTTTCATTTTGACGCAAGCTTGATCTGTGTAATGAAACTGAAGAGCAAGAATTTTAAAATAATAATATGTAACAAAAACGTTTAACCCTTCAACGTGTGAACTTATAACATTCTTCCTATCTTTCAGTTAGCTTAAAACAGCTGTGTGCTTCAGGAGAGGTCGCAGATTTTCTTATTGAGAGCATGGCCACAGATAATTGGAAGGTTGGACTGATTGATTGATTGATTGGGTAGATGTTTTACGGCACTATCGATACGATTTTGGTCATTTAGCGCCATCAGGTTTCACCGCTACAAAATCAGACGTGTTTTTAATAAAGAGTCTTTCGGAGCTCGCAACCGCAAACGATCACACTATTTCTATTATGCTAAAAAGACGAACAAACATTAATTATAACAAAATTTTGTAAATATGGAAAAGGCTTATTTACATTTGTATATACAATACAAATTTCAGTGTATGTATATATACACCGTATGTATATATACACCGACAACGACAACTATATATTTTCACATTCTATTTAACAGTCCAATTTCTTTTATATAACTTTAAATTCTTCTAGGCTCTATGATGTCAAAAAAGGGTCTTAATATCTTTACATTTAAAATATTTCTCACGGACATATTCAAAGTCGACACATTCCATTAGGATGTGCCGAACTGTGAAATTTGTGTTGCACGCCACGCAAAAAGGAGGGAAGGTTGGACATCTCTTGAAAAACTAAGCGGGTGCAATCAGCCCAAAGTACATCGTCTAGAACATTGAGCCACTGACAACGTCAGCACCTGGTCCGGAAGGTATGCCTGATCAAGCGGGTTGAAAATATTTTATATGTGCACGTTGACACAAAATAGATCTTTTACATCCTGTATTTCAAAGCCAGCATGGCTAAGTGGGTTAATCTATCCTACCTCCCCACACCCCACCCCCCCAAAAAACCCCCCAACAAAGAACAAAAAAACCCGCACTCAAAAACAGCATATTTCCGTTATTACAATAATATGGTTTGAAAGAGAGACAGATAAATAGACAGACTGACAGACAGACGGATAGATAGATGAATAGATATATAAATAGATAAATAGATAGATATATAGGTAAAGGGGTAGAAAAAATGTGAAGTAGTGACAAGTTTGCATTGTATGCTTTTCTGGAAGTCGGGAATGTTTCCGAGTGTTCTGCTGGGGTAATAATAATTGTAACGTGCAAGGAACAAGCTGTTAGCCGTTGGTATGCACTATTAATTATATAAAGGCAATTATACTAACAATAATAATGATAATAATAATAATAATAATAATAATAATAATAAATAGCAATAACAATAATAACAATAGTAACAATAATGACGTAATCTAGACGTTAGACTGGCAGAAATAAATCATTTTAAAAATAGAGAATTTTAAAGACAAACTAATTAATCATCAGACCGATATTATACAGACCTACAGACGAGTAAAATGAATGCAGTTATAGAAGGAAAATGGTATCTGGTGGATGATCAAAAGGTTTTCATGTAAACCTGACAATTCATACACTTCTTTGATTACCTTAAAAATGTACCCTACAAAGGACTTCTAGCAGACTTCACATTTGACATAATTTTTGTGTGTGTAATACGTCAGTATAGAGAAGTGGTTATTTTTTCTTTTTATTAGGTCTAGTTCTTTTAAGAAAAAAGTGCAATAGGATAGTTACCAATATACACCTTAATGGTAAGATTAAATACATTATAGTCTTCTCGGATAAGGGCTAAAAATCTCATAGATCCCGTGTGCTAGTTGCGCACGTTAAAGATAATCTTGGTGGCCCAAAATCGGTAAGAATAAATTTTGGCTGCCATCCGGGCAAAAAATTCAAAATTATTTCCTACCAAACTGAAAATTTTTAATGTGCAGCACTTGCTCATGACCTTACGAAGTTGTGGTCGCCGTACAACACTTGCCAAAGCAAACAAAACACCGACAAGAATATTTTCATACCGAAAGATATTAACAACTTCGCTGCGTCGTAGTATCATTCTTGCCAATATTGCCCTCACAGAAGCCAAACATTAGGCAACGTCACATAGTTCTGGCGCCACCGCTTGACATTTATCCAAGACCCGGGGTCAAATTACTGACCCTTGGAGGGCCGATAATTGAGACTATTCAGCTTGCCATGTCAACCGCTGCTCCTGAAAGGTCAAAGGGTAATACTGCGACGCTTGTGTGCTCGGTTAGAGCGGTCGTGGCGATGACCGCAAATGTTGTTATACACTTTGCTTATTGGGTTAGCAGTAATTGTTTTTATTGGCTTCATTTTCCCCTTCGCCAAAAATTGCTTTTAGCAAGAGTTTTGTAGCGTGAGCAATACAAATAGGTCAAATAAGTGCTAAAGATTAGAAGAGTTATTAGAAAAGACCGAGAAGAGACAAGGACAATATACGTTTGATAGGACAGAAGCAAACCACACACGAGCACCAGCGAACCATCTTTTCATTGTCAGAGACTTGAGTGGCATAACAAAACTGTCATAGAGTCCAGCAGAAAGTCAAACAATTTTATTGTAACAGCTTCCAAAAAGGTGGACACCACTGGGTTTTAGTAAAGAAGAACGCATCAACACAATATAATAACTGTCATTAAGTGCTGGGAAAAGATATAAGACAGACAAACGACTGAGGGAAAGTTTTAAAAGTAGGACCTATCAGTGGCGCCCTCCAACTTATCGCACACAAAAGAGTGTCTGAGCGCACAACATTGACCTTGTGTGTTATCACAAGGATATCAGGCGCTCTTTAAAATAATTGAATCGAAGACACCGATATTATCAGCCAGCTGGGCAATTTTATTCTTTGATTATTTTTTTGACTCAGCACCTTTAATGCACATTTAAAAACAGACTTATAGATGGATTTTTTTTACTGAAAAACGTCTCTCAAAGGCACGAAATGTAAATTTGCTATTTCCCGAGACTCTCAAGCTTTGGAAGTGACCAACATTTGGTGGCCATTTTCTCGCATATTTCACCCATCACACCTGGTGCTAATCTTCTTCAATCTCAAATATCTCTACTTTTTTTTCAAGAGAGATTGGTATTTTTGTTTCCAAAAGTAAGACAAATGAACAAGCTTTAGGATGATATCAATAACTCGTTATGCCCCAACATTGACGAGCGCCTAATTAAAATACGTCGCACCACCTATGCTAGAAATACCAACACTGTATCGAAACACCTTCAACATTTTTAGCCTACTAATTTTAGTTTACTGAAGTTTTAATAAGAGATGTATGCCACTTCAACACAATTAGGTCATACGTGCTGAGGGTTAGACGTTTTAATAGATAATGACATGCAAATAAAACATGGACGGGTGATATGGACGATGCATGCTGTTTGATAGGAAAGAAGGAGCAAATCACACCAGAGCACCAACCGACCACCCATGAGCTCTAGATTTGGGGAAGGTGGTAATGAGAGTTTAATAGCCACTGTAGAGTCGCTGGCTCATAATCATTTATGGGAGAGTGGTACATGTATAAGTGTAACATTCCTTTTCACAGACGCAGACTGAGATTAACAAAAATTGTGTTGTTAAGATGTCTACGTTGACAGATAAATAACATTATCCATTTCTCCATTTTGCCCGTGAAAAAAACCCCCCAGACGTTTCATTACGGCAATGCGGGATGATTATGACGAGATCTATGACTGCCACACAGTTTCTCTTTAGAATTGGACACAAACACATTGCAAAACTATTTTGGAAAAAAATTACACGTTTCTCTGTTTTTCTCCAAAAGAAAAAAAAGTGAAAACAACAACAACAATAACAAAAACCAGCAATAAAACCAGACGTTTGGAAGCTATGCGGAGCAATAATAACGATAAGTCGATACCATGATACGAATTTCACGGTGCTTGCAACAGCATAAAGTCATATGAGCGCGCAAGTCAAAATATAAGTATCGAAGATTAGACGTGCTACAAGAAAAACAAATTCAAAGAAAAGAAAAAAAGGAACAGATCACACCAGATCACCCACCAACCACCCGCAAGGAGGAAAGTAAGGAAAAAAGATGTTAGATTGGAAAGAAGGAGCAGATCACACAAGAGCACCCGTCAACTACCCGGAGAAAGAGATAAGGACGATAGTTGATGATCGATACCAAAATAATTGGAACACACCACACCACAGCACCCGCCAACCACCCGCAGCGAGAAGTAGATAGAAGAATAGTCTTACCGTTTTTCCTGTACAACTTGAGCTCCGTCTTCAGTTCTTTCTTCTCCTCGAGCGCTCCTTTGATTTTCCCCGTCTCCGAGTCGGAAGTCTCCGGGCCGTACAGGAACCGGCACCCGGAGTTCTTGGCCATGACGTTGGCCCGGGTAAATCCGGTAAGCTCACAGAAGCCATCTGAGCAGTACACAATAGGATAGCCGTGGGCTTGAGCATTGCCCAAGACGAAGTTGCTATCTGTGAACAGGAAAAAAAATAAAGGCATGTTTAGGAAGGAAGCAATGTGTTTGTTTTGTTTGAAAATGGCACGGTGAAATAGTACGGGTTTTTTGTTTTTGTTTTTGTTTATAGTAGAGGGTATACGGCGCTCACAACTGCATAAGGTCATATGAGCGCCAAGGGATGGGTGTCAACAGAGAAGTCTTTACAGGGAATCAGACTTAGACTGCTCACCTCTCTAGCTTCAACAGCACAAGGTCTGCTTCGACTATCAAGGCACCCCAAAATAGCAGGTCATTAGGGAGTGACAAACATACAAAAGAAGTAGAGGAAAATGACAATAGCAAAGATCAGGAAAGAAAAAAGCAGCAGTTCCCTGTTGTAGATCAGGCACAGTTATGAGCGTGACCTGAGTCAGCCCATTTACAACTCTACTATGCTTGAACGAGATATGTCCCCCCTTTGGGAATGGCCTAGATACACTTCAGTCAGTGGCACCGCCCCCGGGGGGTAGTACGGGTTTAACGCCCATATCAACACTAATGTGTTTTGTTTGTTTGTTTGTTTAGTATAGCGTTTTACGGCGCTCGCAACTGCATAAGGTCATATGAGCGCACGTGACACACCTAATACTTTTTCGTTGGTAGGAAATTTTGAATTTTTCCCGGGTGGCGGCCGAAGCCTACTCTTATCGATTTTAGACCACCAAGGGATCTTTAACGTGCGCAACTTGCACACGGGCCCTCCGAGATTTTTCGCCCTTGTCCGAGAAGGCTAGGTGTAGATCTTTCCTACCAGAAGATCTGGGGTGTGGCAGAAAGACAGCAGTTAGGAGGAGCCAAGGAGTAGCAGTAGAAAGGCTGCAGAAAGAGTCAGGAGCCCAGAGGAGGGGGCAAAGGAGGTGAGGGGGTGGGGGCAGAACGTGGAAATGAAAGCAGACAACAGAACACTGTTAGAGATCAGGAAAGGATGTGAAAGGAGACACTTTTAGAGAAGAAAATATTTTGGTCGCTACCCGGAATAGAACCCGGGACCTTTGAATGAGAGGCCAACACCTTAACCTCTAGGCCACGAGAGCCCCCACTAATGTGTTTTGTTTGAGCAAAGTGAAGCACATCTATATAATAATGGTCATATTTTAGAGCCGCAGAAAAGTAAGACAGACAGAAATAACAAAAGGAACACGAAAAAAAGAAAGAAAATACCACTGGCACCCTCAGATCAACAACAGGAAGGAAGAGTCATGTCTGAATGTGTTGCTATTGCTATTGTTGAATTCTGTTTTATTGTATTTGTTTTGGTTATAGTGACACTGTTGCAGTGCGCAGTACGGTATCAAATTGCTTTTTGTATTATCAGGCATTGATACCATGTTTATAGAAGGAAAATACTTGACATCTTGTATTACTCGTTATATTATATTAGTCCCGGCTGTATAGATAACATAGGGTTTTTTCATGAACATAAGTGAAAAAAACCCACAAAACAAACCGACCCCCCCCCCTTGATAACATAAAAAAGTACCAGCAGCACCACCATCATCACCACCTCCATCACCATCACCATCACCACCATCACTACCACCACCACAACCACTATCATCATCCTCCTCATGACCACATGATTCACAGAGATAACATCTGAAAGGAGGTCGTTTCTATAAAACTGGCTTTTGTAGAATGTTATGTACGAAGCACGATAAACGATTCATTTACTATGCTTATTTGTTTAAATCAAATATAAAAAAGTTACCAGAAATTGAATAGATAAGAGCAGCAAAAGCGCCCCTAAAAAAACCATCCTGAGAGAAAATAACGACAAAGCACAATAAACGATTATTTAACAATGTGCAATTTGTTTAAAACAGCAACAACGACGACCTCAACAACAACAACAACAACAACAACAACAACAACAACAACAACAACAACAACAACAACATCACACACAAAAAACAGCGACAGTAAATACAACACTCAGGAAAGAAGCAAATAAAAGAAAAGCAACAGCAATCAAATATTTTTCAACAAAAAATAAAAGAAAAAAATAACAACCGGGACATGTTAACTCGCCAAGCCCTGTCATATTGAAGATGTATCGCCGTTCACCCATCGACTGTCAGGCGCTCTATCGAGACACATCCTTCCCGCCTCCCCCATTTTTTTTCGCCCAACTCAATCAGAAGAAAAAAGATGAAAATAAAAAAAGGGAACATAAATACAACATGACCTTGCTGCCAGAATATCAGCCGGCCGTCTAGACATAATAATAAGGGGCTATAGCCCACAATTTATGGGGACTCATGCCAGTTTTCACTTAGCAGTCCATCCGGTTAAACCCCTTGTCTCCAGATCTGAAGGCCACAGGCAGGTTCTATCCTATTGAGATTACAATAATTTTTTTTTTTCTCAAGGGGATGTCATGTCCCTCTCGTACTGTATATAATATGTCGTATACAAACACCAAAACTGCATAAGGAACCAATTGCTACCAACAGAACCGTGGTAAGGGAAAAAAAAAGAAACAAAACCAAAACTAAGATGGGTTTACAGTTCAGTCATATCACATTGTCTGAATAAAGTATACCTCGCCAAGAAAGCATATTTTTTTCTGTGTACAACAGTTTAATATTTTGAGCAATGTCTTGATCAGGAATACGTCTCTCTCTGTGTCTCTGTCTCTCTGTCTCCCTCTCTCTCTCTCTCCAGCTCTCTCTCCCTTTCCCCCCCTCTCTCTCTGTCTCTGTCTCTCTCTCTCTCTCTCTCTCCAGTCCCCCCCCTCTCTCTCTGCGTGTTTGTGTGCGTGTGTGCGTGTGTGCGTGTGTGAGTGTGC